GGCGGGCAATATAGCCGCTCGGCGGAGGCGCGGGTGCGCGGGGGCAGCGCAGCGGGCGGGGGCCGAGATCCAGAGACCGGAGCGGCTGGCACCGGGGCCACCCGGAGAGGGGCGAGCGCCATGAGCAGCAAATGCGACGTGATCGTGGTGGGGGGCGGCATCTCAGGTCAGTCGCGGCTGCGCACCCTCCTTCCTCCTCCCGGGCTCCGACAAGTGGCCGCCCCGGGAGGCGCGCGGGGCGGCCGGAGGGAGGGGTGCCCCCCAGGAGCCCCTAGACTCTCCAAACGCCGGCGGGGGTCTAGCGGGTCCCGAGTTCCGCACCCGGAATCCTCCCTGGGGGAAGGATTTGGTGCGTCCCTGGACAGGAGCCGGGGGCTGGAAGTCTGCTGAAGGTCTGGGGCCAGAATTTGAACTTCTCCCCCGGAAAGCTGCCAAGCCAGCGCTTGCTGGAATTTTCGAAGCGAGGAGAAACAGAGTGGGCAGGAGAGGGGCTCTTCGTAGGGGATGGCCCAAAGGTCAGTCACTTGCCCCAAGCAAAGGTCAGTCATTTTGCCCCAACCTGCCCTGAACGCTCTGCACCCTTACTTGGAGCAGGCGTGCACGGCGACGCGCTGTTATTCTGGCACCAGGAGAACGACCTTGAACATTTCCCCGTTCAGAAACAAGGCATTCGCCCCGGGGGCAGTCGATTGCCGGAGACCCTCCTGACCCTGATTCTTTGTGGTTCCATGATTGCCCTGGGACCTGGGGCTGCAGGGCTTTCTTGTCAAATGCCTCTTCTCTCATTCCCCTCCCCCTTCAGGCAGTTAGAGGGTGGCCAAGTCGCCCAGCAGAATGGGGACAGAAATTACCCTCTCAAACATGGGACATGGGGGGCAGTGTGCACAGCAGGAGCCCCCAGAAATAGAAGCCAGGAGAGGGATGTGGACAGTGGGGGAACCTACCTTCAGAGGAGGAGGGTCAGGTGGATCACTTGGAGTGGGGTCAGTGGAAATAAGCAATGCTTTCAGAACAGCCTAACAGACCACTGGGGATGCTTTGGCCAAACCCCCAGGACCTCCTGGTGCTTGGGCAGTAACTAGGACACCTCTAAAATCCGTGGGTGTGTGGGATAGGATGTGCCCTAACCAGATCTCAGGAGCAGGGCTCACCAGATCTCAGGGGCGAGACTCCGTCTTGCTCCCTGTGAGGCCTGCAGGGCAGAGGTGCCCTGACTCTCTTTTGCCCAGGAGAAGAAACCAAGGTGTTGAACGTTGGGTGCTGCCCCTGATTGTCTGCTGCTCCTCCACTCCAGCTTTCTTCACCCTTGAATCAGATCTCAGGCTACCACTTCTGTCTGCCTGGTCCTCCTGAGCGCACCCCTGCCAGGTGCACAGATGCATAATCACAACAGCTCGCTGAGATGGGCCAAGGCTGAGTTTTCTTTCAGTATTTTTGACATCTTCTCTACTAAAGGAACTTGGACTTGAAAACTTATCTACCTAGGTGTTCTACAAAATATTACTAGGTGCTTCTCCATGCTGCCTTGCACAGCACCCATATTATGGAAACTGAGGATTCTCTTTCCAGTCCCCCAAAGTCCTTTTCTTGCCCAAAATATGTCTAATGGGGTCAGATTCTTCTATTCCCCACCCCCTTTATTTTGACTTTTCTTATTCGCGCTCTAAAGCTTCAAGCTCACTCAAGCTTATTCACATTAGACTTCTATGGAAAGTGTTTAGCTATTTCTACAGTGGTAGTGAATCTCCATATTCAGCCCCAAATTCTCCAAACAAGGGACTGATGAGTAGATCTGACTTCTCAAGCATGTTACATGGAATAGGCATTGTTCTAGAAACCAAGAAAGCAGACCGTATGCAATTGCTTTATCTGCTACATGAGGATAACACCAATTATACATACAGGGTCATAGCTACATTACAGGGTGGTGGTAGAAGGCAAGTGAGGCAATATGTGTGAAGATGGCATTGCAAAGTCAGATGTATGACACAAGGTCTTACAAGGGTTTTGCTCATTTATTCAGGCCATAGACATTAGGGTAGGCTGTGGTAGACCATGGAAAAATCAATCCCATTATTCTTGCCCTGGAAGATTTGTCAATCCAGGAAGGGAGATGAGGTACCCAAAGAAAATACAAGTTAGAAAGTGGTAGATGCCACAAAAGGGGTCCACTCATTCACTGGTTAACCATTCATTCAACGAACGTTTGCTTCCTGTCCCACACCTTATCCCAAAGGGAATGAAAGATGAATTATACAGAGCCATTGCCCCTGGGGGACTCAACCAGCTGATGGGGGAGGCAGAGTCATGAACAATTAATACTAATGAAAGGTGAATAGTTACGAAAGGTGAATGTTGAAATCTGCCTGAGAATATCTGGGCAGACTTCACAGAGGTGGTGACGTTTGATGTAGGTCTGAAGGAGTGAATATGGATTCACTAGGAGACTGGATGAAGAAAGTATTTGAAGCTAAGGAACAGCTTATATAAAATCACAAATATGGGAAAGAAGATTGCAGCATGGTTAGGAAATCGTAAGAACTTCAGTGTGGAGAGTTGGGGGGACTTGTGGGGAGCCTTGTATATCATCCCAAAAGATTTAGTTCCTTCTGTGGTTGATGAACAGCCACTGATAATTTTTCATTCACAGAGTGACATGTTTCAAGTGACGAGAATATGGTGATGCAAAAAGTGGGACATGCGGAAGAAGAGGAGCAAGTTTGGAGGAAAGATTTAGAGTTGGAGGTGCTGGGTGGATGCCCAGGGAGGGATGTCTAGCAGGTGGAAAGGCAAGGAGGAAGCTGGGTTTGCAGATTTGTGTGACAGAGCAGTTTTAGTTGAAGCCACCTGAAATGACCCAAACCGAGAGTGGAGAGAGAAGAGGGGATGCCCAGGGCAGAACTGGATGAGAGGGTGCTTACCCCCTCCACAGGGAGGGAGATGTTTCAGTCATTCTCTATAGTTTGATGAGAGAGATGAAGAAACTGAGTAACTGAAAAACACTTCGTTAACCTCAGATCTTAGCTCAGATGTCGTTTCCCTGGGGCAGTCTTCCCTTCCCAAGTCCCTCCCAATGGGATTAGATGCCTTTGTTTAACTTCCCTCTGCCATCTTGTTCTTTGCCATGAGTTTTTAATTGTTCACATATTAGTATAATTTCTCAGCCAATAGCTTTCTCCTCCACTAGGCTGTAAGTCTCTAGAGCCCCGGGGAGGTGTCTCTTTTTCTCCTGGAGAACTCCTAACCCCCAACTCCAGGGCTCTGCCTGACCCAGTTAGCACCCAATAAATGTGTTGAATTAACGAACTTTTACTTTACACCAACAAAGTAGCAACTGACTGGATCTGAAATTCACATCCATTCACTTTTGCATTTCCTGCCAAATCATATTGAGAACGGGGAAAGTGGTAAAATCGGAGTTTTAGAACAAGTAGGTGACCGACGCAATGGTTTAAAAGTCTAGAATTCGACTCTGGTTTTTTAACTTTGTTAATTATTAAACTTGGGACATTCTGGCAATTCTCTGATAGTTTTCAAAGCCGTCAGCAAATTTTAATCACTTCCTTTGGGATAAACAAAGATGTACTGGGGGTACAGCTGGTTAACCTATAACTTTCTTTTTTAATGTTTGAAAAATTCCAAGGCAAGTATAGAACAGCTTTTCTGAAATGTGTGTAGTACTTAAGTGCACACATACTCAAATTTCTTTCACCCAAGGAGCAGGTCATCTCTGGAGACTTGGCAGAGTGATGGCATTTCCCACATGGAGTTGGACAGCAGCGTATTGCTTCTGTCCTGAGTCTCGGTTTTAATGTTTGGTTTTGGTAGAACCATGGAAACTATCTTTTGCAATTCTGGAATGGCTCTTGCTCAAGGCTCTAAATAAAAGCTAAAAAAGGGAAACATGAAGCAGAAAGGAGAACATGTTTTTTTCCAGGCTTGAGAGAGGAGATCTGGCCATCTGAGGGTGGCAGGAACTTGGCTAAGAGCCTGAAAGAGTCGAAGTCAGCCTTCCAAATGGTAACTGACACCTGGGAGGTGATCCGTGCGGCCAGGAGGGCAAGCATGCTGCGGGCTGGCGGGACTGGCCTGGGCAGGGGGCGACAGAGAGGGTCCAGAAGGGATCATGAGTTGAGGGACACGACAGATAGGCAGATGTGGCCTGCGTGTTAATGACAAAGCCCCCTCCTCATCTCTGATGAAGAAAGATGGAGAACTCCCCTGGGCTCCTATGACCCACCTGAATGTTCTAAAAAAAATAGTAATTGTACAGAAGTGCTTGGAAATTTGTACAGCCCAGTCAAGGAGGGTCTGGAGAGAGGCAGTATGGCAGTGTTCAAACAACATCCATCACACATCAAACAGACTCGTTATCAGTCCCATTTCCTGCACTTACTACTGTGTCACCTTAAAATTTCCATCACGCCTCTGCTCTTCAGCTGCCTTATCTTTGAAAGGGGACTCCCGGTGCCTTTATTGGTGGAGACGTTGTTTAGAAAGAATGCGCAGGAAGTAAGGTACACAGTGGTCATTATGGCTTCCGTTTGTTCCTTTTGGAAAATACACCCTTTTTTGGCTTCCAGGGTTTTTTTAATCTGTGAGAGCAGAGGCAGGCATCTCTGTGTAATCTCTTCTTCCTCCTTGCTAACCAGTCATTTTTCTTGCTGTGAGGCATGTATAAGGTGGCAACAGGATGCGAGTTTTACATGCAGGCATCGGTAGGGACCTGCCTGGTTCCAGCCTCGCCTTGCCCCAGCCTATCCCTTTATTGCCTCCAGTGAAGGGCCTGAGGAGCTTAGGCTCACCCCGGGCTCTGGGATCCACTGGATTCCTCATCAGGAGAAATTCTGGCAGCCAGAGATCTGTATTTCATCCCTACCCCAGCCTGGCTGTTATTCCGATTCTGACCTGGTCCTCATTTCAGCCACCTGAGTCCTGTCTTAATGATAATAATAATTAAAAAATGCATGACTAATAAGTGGGAATATTATTTATTTATTTAATAATGTTAATTCTTGCATAATAATAAATACTACAAGAGCCAGCATGTTGAGTGCTGTTTATACGTTTATATGTTAAACTGAGTAACAGTGAGGTGCTATTAGCATCTGCTGGGCACCAAATGAATTCACAGTCTTCATGCAGAAATGCGTTCTGCGTTTAGAA